CCCCCTGGTCACGGCCGACAAATGGTCTTCCAGTGTCAGCCGTGGATCCAGGAGGACACCCAAGTTGCGTGCCCTCTCTGAGGGGGCCAAAATTTCGCCCCCTATAGACAGCGATGGAATCAGCTGACTATGCCGAGGCGCCGGCAACCACAGCCACTCGGTCTTGGAAGGGTTGAGTCTGAGTCTGTTCCTCCCCATCAAAATGAGATATGAAAAATATGCTAAAATAATGGGATTCTATAAAGAACAGACAGAATTTGACCAGATACTGTTAAAAACAGATGAAAAGTTGATTAAGAAACTCTATAAATATCTGTTAAACTTAAAGAAGGAGGAAGAACAAGTAAAAGAAACAATGATAATATGGGCAAAGAGCTTTTGATATAATATAGAATTAGAAGACTGGCAAAAATTAACTAAAGCAGTGGCATATAAAGAAAATTTATATAAAATGTTTTACAGATGGCACATGACACCAGTGAGATTAGCAAAAATGTTTAAAAATACTTCAAATAAGTGTTGGAAATGCAAACAAAGACCAGGAACCTATTATCATATCTGGTGGACATGCCCTAAAGCAAAAAGATTTTGGTTAAAAATACATTTCTGATTGGGGAAAATGACTAAAAAACAAATAGACTTTAAGCCAGAATTATTTTTGTTAGGAATAATAGGAGCAAATATTGTATCTATTTAATTTTACACGTACTAACTGCAGCAAGAATTGTATTTGCCCAACAGTGGAAAAATGAAAATTTACCAACTGAAGAAGAATTAATTAAGAAAATTTTAGTGTGTGCAGAAATGGATAGATTGACTTTAAAGATAAAAGAGAAAGAAGATTCAGTGTATTTTTAGAACATGGGATAATTTCTATCAATGGCTAGAAAAACGAGTTAGAGAGAAAGGAATGTGATATGTAACTTTGAATATATATAAGCAACAAGACTATTGAGTGATTAATTAACATTGTTGATGATAATTAACTATTGTCTATTGTTTTTTGTTCAACACATGAACCCCGACATTATGCTATTTGCTAAATATTGAGAATGTTATTTGAAAAGATCCTAATACCCAACCCCAACCCTAATCCTAATCCTAACCCAAATCCCAACCCCAATCCTGACCCCACTTCATTTCTAATCCTATAAAAACTAATAAAACGTATATATACTGTATAAAAAACAATAATTTTTAAAAATCTGGCAATCATATAAAACAAGTGATCCTTCAGTTACATAAAAACAACCTATAATATACCATAAAACTACAATTAGATGCAATCTAGAAACAATTGTACCTCTAACTGGGAAGCTTAGCTGCTGTAGTATTGATGATTTTATGCAATAGCCTGTTTGTGGCTTCTGATACATCTTTTCCAGGCAGGCATTCCAATCTTCCACACTATAAACTGAACAATCCTGCAGACTAGTGACAAGGTCACCAACAAAAAGACCTCTAGGACCATTAGCAGGAGAATCCTAAAAAAAGAGAGGAGAAAAAATGCTCATGGATCCTGGACTGAAGACCACCTACTTTTGTTTTATTGGCTACATTTTCATATATGGTAGTTTGACTATGATCTGAAGAGGAATGAGCCAAGCAAACTCCCCTTTTAACCAACCAGTGGGGTATGGGGGAAAAAAGTGTTTTCTCTTCTGGTTATTCTGGCCATCCAGATTGATAAACAGTGATTAACACTAAGTAAAACAATATGAATAGCCACTGCAATGTTAGTAATATACTCCTGATACAAATGTGATTATTCTCAGTATCAAATCTTTCCTATTTTAATAGAATGTGTTTACACTTAAAGCTGATTAATAATCATGTAGACCTGATTATATTTCATTATATCACATAGGATTAGGTTTATTTCATATACTTCACTATTAATACCATACGTATCTTAGCACAGAAAAGTAGTAGTAATAAACTGGATTACTGTGAAACAGAGCTTTAGTTTCTTTATTTTATATCCTATCTTTCCACTTCAAAGAGTATTCAATGCAGAAAAAACAAAGCTTTAATTAAAGGAGAAAACTGAATGAATTATACTATATAGTATATATAGTGTGTGTGTGTCGGCGTATCTATATATAGATACACACACACACACACACACACATACAGTACTTACATCTATGGCCATAACTTCCAAATAACCTCCCAGTATATGTCACCAACACTTTTAGAAAAGAGAAAAAGCACCACTATGTTTAACTGTACAGATAACAAACTATTCTTCCAAAGAGGTGAATTTATAATGCTGTTACCTGAGTGACTTCAGTAACAAGTGCTCCTGCACCAGTGTAATAAAATGGGTAAAGAATAGCAGGTAAAAAGAAGAGAACTACAAGACCCGCAACACCAAGCACAAAGTTATGCCAGACACCTGCAAAACCAGAAAAACAAAGCATTTAATGTCTACCATGCAAGAATAAGCTAAATAGAATTTTAATATATAGAACTATTTTTTATTTTATTACAATAGCAACTTAATCTAAATCTCATAAATTCTGCTTCAGGAGTGAAGCTAATATTAAGATTTTGAAAATGAAGTGTTTAAATGTAACTGGAACCATACCGGTAAATGCTCCAAGATTATGGTTAACAGAAGTCTTGATTTTAAAAATGTATATGAAAGTCGTAAAAACATGACTGGGAACCACTCCGACTTTCAGCACAAAGGACAAGCACAGCTAGGGCAATAAAAATGAACTATCCTGAGAGGTATTTCTGAATGAATATGATATAGAATAATCAGAGTAGCCCATGAAAGGAAATTCAGTGCATACTTTTTAAAGATGAATATTGAGGAATAACAATAAAGTTATACTTTGTCATTTTCGATATTATAAATATACCTTCAACTATTCGATAGAATGTGATCCTGGAATTAAATGTCACTGGCAGTTGTGTACTATTATAGCCAAGAATGTGAGCTGGAAAATTCAGCTCACAGCTGGAACTACTACTTTTATATTAGAACACAAATAAAATTTGAAAATAAAATAAAGCTAGTCAAAGATTGCTCTTAAGTGAAATAAATATTATTTTATGCAAAATGCTCTCAGCATTCAAAACTTGCTAAATTTTAAAGAGAAACACAAAAGGAAAATTATTCATTATACATAGTTGTCATTATGGTCAAGAAAGAAAAGCTCCTGTCAAGCAAGTATGACTCCCATGGTCTTCATGTATATATCTATCTGGAATTGGTTGACTGTTAAACCTTCTTACAGGAAAAGTTTCTGACTTCCCAGTTTAACTTACAGCCCTGGGATAGCCTAGTAGCCTCCCATCTAAATACCAATCAGAACTGAACCCCCCCCCCCCCGAACCGTTGCCAAGGTATAGGTTTTTTTAGCTATCTCTTTTTCAATCTTTTTTGCTGTGAGTTATATAGTTTTACTATTTTGTACATTGTTCATGATTCCTACTTCTTGGAATTTCCCCAAATCTGTCAGTTGTTATGAAGAATATAGAGCAAGCTGGCCTGTTTATAACTGTGCAACTAAAAATATATTTACTTTTTATTACTGGCTTACTTTATAACGAAAATCTTAATCGCATCTGTCTTAAATCAAACTGTTGCATAATTTCAACCAAAATACTAATCTTCATTCAGAAATATCTATAATGGCTAAATTAAAAATCAACCTCGATTAGCAGATTGAGATTGTAATTTACAATGGTTCCTTTTTTTTCCTAACCAATTTCTGCTATTCTCTTCTCCTGCCAAGACATGGATAAATGCTGAGAAAACAACACTGTTTGACCTAAACACTGTTATACATATAACAAATTGCCCATGATATATGAAAATTGTACAATTCCATGACTGACTGTTAATATTTAATATTATATCAAAAGTATTATTAAAAATCATTAGAAGCACAGGAAAGAAGACATAGCTCAACCCAAGATATACGTATCCAAGAAACTCAAAGATCTCTTTCCTAATATTCTCAACAGATAATTGGAAGAAAATTAGGGACACCTGGGCTCCTGCCATTTTCTCATTTTGAAACAATATATGGAGATTCCTATTACAGCAGCTATATATAAATTATGCTATATATAAACTATATTATGCTATATATAAATCCTGCAGTCTGTAATAGGAATCAATCACAGGTTGGATATGAGGAGCACAAAACAGCTGTCATTGTAATCAAATGCATGATATATATTTGAGGCTTAATCAGAAATAAATTAAAATTCTATTTTAATTTCATAAGAAATTGATATCTTGGAACAAGTAAGTAATATATCGTTAAAAGAAGAAATTACCAAGAGAAACTAATTTATCCAAAATATCTGAATAGTAGTAATATACACAACCCAAGCATTTGTTATGTTTCTGTTTGGCCTCAGCAGCCTCAATACTTCAGTAGCTTTGAACATACTGGAGAATGTTTTTACAGAGGCTAGACTATTCAATGTTATCAAAACATTTTAAAAGTAATAAAAGTAAATATGAAATGAAAAACTGGAATATCCCATATTGCAAAATCATCTCTCTCAAGTTCTAAGAAATGTTAAGTAGTTTAATATGATGCAAAAACCTAGTTAGCCCTATAGAATTTGCAGGATATGCTCAATATGTCCAGCAATACCCATACTTTCAGATACAATATAAAATATATTGCAATAGTAATCCCAATTAACTCACCTGCGCAAAATATTCTTAGCTGCTGAATGGGAGATATTAATTGTAAGTGAGTAGTGAATAGGTCAACAAATGCCCCGGGATAGACAATGAATATAAAAATTCCATAGCCATTAAACCGAACTTGCTCTCTAAAAAACAATAGAAAATATTTTTTAAGACTGAATTAATTATTTGTAATCAAACAGATAAACATGCTTCACTGTATCTGCATGGAATTTTATTTTCCACTGGTATGTCTACCACTATAGTTATACAGGATGAATTGCCATTAAGCTAAGAAAAATGTATTTCAGAACAAAATAATAATCATAACAAGCATATTTTGTAAAGCAGTTAATGTTACTTCATTCCAAGTATTCAGTGTGCTTTACTTCAATTATCTGAACTATAATCTTTACCACAATCTGCAGGCAGAACTATTACCCTCCAAAAGGGGCACAGTATATAACCAACTATGATTTGTTTAAGGATCAAAGGAGTAGAACTTTTTGATCTGTTATTCAGTATCTAACCAGCACAATATAACAGATCTGTTCAATGAAAGAAAAAGAAGCAGTCTAAAGCTATGGTAGCAGTCAGAAATCTGGGAATTAAAAGATAATTGAAGGACAATGAGAGTTTAGTTTATAGTGAAGTAGTAATTAAAAAAGAATTTCAGGTCAAAACCTTCCTTATCAGACACCCTGTGTTATCATGGCAATCAAGTGAAACTGATTTGTACTGGTGGGCTCAGAAGGTAATTCTTCATCCTGTATGATCTTTAAAGCAATCATGTTTGCTTTCCCACAAAGGAACCGGTTTTCACTCCAATGTATCTCCAAACAGATAAAATTTTACAACATACCAGAACACTACTAACTGAACTGCTGCTACAGATTTTCACGGATACTATATGAACATTATGAGATAATGGGGCAACCCTCCTACATTTGATCAAAACTAGTGTTTGCAGTAAGAGCATAAGTATAGCCATCATTTTTAACAATAGTGTTCAAACAGCATAAGGAATTCAGTATGCTGAATTTTGAAGGTGATCTATTAGATATATTAGAAACATGAAAGTACTAATTGACAAAGTAAATGATACAATAACAGGTAACGTGAGCAAAAAGTAACTGTGAGCATAACTCTGTGAGATGGATAGTACTAAAATTTGACAAATAAAATAAATGAATAGACTATAGAAATCAGAATTCAGTTCCTTTTTTCCCCCCAAGAAATCTTTGACTTGTGGCCAAGATAAATAAACAAAAAGATACAAAAAAAGAAAAAATACAAAGTTATCATCCTGGCCCCAAAACTTCTCAAGCAGTAGAAGGAAATAGTGTAAAGTAGTATATTATAATGTTAAAAGTTTAATTCTAAGATCAGAGTAACTCTCAAGAGCATAATATTTTTAGCATTATCTATAATCTATAAAATCAAAACACAAGTAACATCAATAAAAAGTATTTCCTAAAACCTACAAGGATAGTACTTTAATATATATTAAATCACAGCACGATGAAACTGAAGAAAAGAAAGTAAATAAACTTTATGCCTTCTCCAGTTTTTGTCATATTTCCACTGAGGTAACACAAAGCCTAGCTACCGATTACATAAGAGGGTTTCAAATCTTCTAAGAGGATATTCACAAGGCACTTACATAATTTTCCAACATGTTTGTGTAATGGGGTAAATTAAATTGGTCCAACTGTTCTTGAGAAATTTACAGTGTATTAATTAATATATGGCTTTTCTATCTCATTAGCACCACATGGCCAGGTGTGTTCAAATAGTGGAATTTTAACATATCTGCCTTGCAGCAATGCAGAAGGCAAGATTTTTGATCAAGTTTAAAGAAGATAAGTAGTAAATGTTTTGCTGGTTCTCATATACCCTTAGCAACTCAAATTCTATTGTACTAGGACAACCTATTTACCTCAACCCAATATTTTATATCATTCATTCTTTGAATAAGCATTTGCGTAGCCTGACTGTAACCTAACTACATTAAAAATGATGCCAAAAGCCCATATGATACAAGCTTCTGCTGTACCACAAATTCCCAGTTTGAGGGGAAGTTATCAGTGAAACGTATGATAACCCTACTGGTAAAAAAGTTTTTAGCTGATAATTAGCCACGAACCTCAAAACTCACATCTGAATTCAGGCCATTCCTAGTTCTATTCCAACCTGGGCATCTGTTTTCCTACTAGGGGAATCAGATATAACTTAAGAATTTCATTTGCATCAGCTCCAATGCTTCTTGAAATAAACATCAAGAATTTGGGGCAAACATCTGGCCTCAAAATGAAGGTTTAATGAAGCTGGAATTAATTATCCACCTTTAGGGAAGAAGATCATAATCTTAAGGTTAGGTATACTATGTACTCATAAAATGTGGTCCAGTTCCTTTTCAGTGGAAAGTCACCCCAAGATTCTCTATCATTTTATCTCCTTCCTGTTTTGTTTTTGAGAATTTTAGCCCATATACTCTCATATAGGTAAACATGAGAAATTAAGAAATCATAGAAATTAAGGCTTCTAGCAAATGATGTTTTTTCTGATTACAAAATGTGGATTGCATTACCTAATAGCTGCCACTCCATGGCCAACTTCATGTATAATACCACTGATGAGGATTGCTGTGAAGAAATAGGACAGCTGGCTGATGGGAAGGTTTACACCAGGCACCTGTTTTTAAAGACACAACAAGATGCAAGGCAGCAAGAGATGCAGTGATTGGTCTTCCTGCATTCTGATAACACAGCTGCCCTAAAAACCACTACAGATTTCCCAGTGGTCTTATAAAAGAACCCATTTTCATGAAAAAAAATAAGATACAAAGGAGAAAAATTATAACCAGATATAATCCCGTCATGTTTACATACTATCCTGGTTGAAGAACCCCTAACTCCAAATCACAAGAGCTAGTGATGAAAGGCAGTAATATACTTCATTTTATTGTCCCAAAGGTGCTTTTTCAAAAGACAACTGGACTTTTCTTGATTTTTTTTCCTTGAAAATATTTTGCTTCTTATTCTGAAGAACTGATGAAGCTTCTTGGATGAGAAGCGAAACATTTTCAAGGAAAAAAACAAGAAAAGTCTAGTTGCTTTTTGAAAAAGTATCTTTGGGACAACCAGGACCTGGATGGTTGAAAATCTCCATAGACATTTACCTCTTTTTATGTTCCTTAAAATCGAAAATGAAATAGCCTAAATCAGACTTTTTCAATTGTTGTGTCCTCCACAAATTTTCAACTATAGTTTAGCTCAGGGGTCCCAAACCCCTGGTCCATGGACCAGTACCGGGCCGTGACCTGCCAGCAATCGGTCCTCATAAGCAAAGCACCATCCGTGGGATGCAGGCAGCACACAAAACCATGCACTGTCCGGTCCATGGAAAAACCTTTTTCCACGGAACCGGTCCCTGGTGCCCAAAAGATTGGGGACCTCTGGTTTAGCTAAAACCAGCATTGCCAATCTTCACATATGGCCAGCCAGAACACACAGAGGGCACCAGATTGGTAAAGTCTATTTAAGATATCTTAAAGTGCTTCATCTCCTTCATGGATTACTGCCTTGTCGTGGCGAAGGGGCTTGCGTAACTCAATGAAGCTATGAGCTATGCCATGCAGGGCCACCCAAGACGGACAGGTCATAGCAGAGAGTTCTGACAAAATGTGATCCAACGGAGAAGGAAATGGCAACCCACTCCAGTATCTTTGCCATGAAAACCCCATGGACAGTATCAAAAGGCAAAAAGATATGATGCTGGAAGATGAGCCCCTCAGGTCGGAAGGTGTCCAATATGCTACTGGGGAAGAGCAGAGGGCTAGTACTAGTAGCGCCAGAAAGAATGAAGCGACTGGGCCAAAGCTGAAAGGATGCATCAGCTGTGGATGCATCTGGTGGTGAAAGGAAAGTCCGATGTTGTAAAGATCTTTTCTCCATAGGAACCTGGAATGTAAGATCCATGAATCAAGGCAAACTGAATGTGGTCAAACAAAGATGACAAGACTGAACATCGACATCCTAGGAATCAGCGAACTAAAATGGACAGGAATGGGTGAATTTAATCAGATGACCATCAGGTATACTGCTGCGGGCAAGAATCCCCCAGAAGAAATGGAGTAGCCTTCATAGTCAATAAAAGAGTAGGAAAAGCAATACTGGGATACAATCCCCAAAATGACAGAATGATCTCAGTGCGAATCCAAGGCAAACCATTCAATATCACAGTAGTCCAAGTCTATGCCCCAACAACTGGTGCTGAAGAGGATGAAATTGACCGGTTTTATGAAGCCCTACAGCACCTTATAGAATCAACACCAAAAAATGATGTCCTTATCATCATGGGGGATTGTAATGCTAAAGTAGGAAGCCAAAAAACAATGGGAATAACAGGCAAGTTTGGCCTTGGAGTACAAAATGAAGCAGGGCACAGGCTGATAGAATTTTGTCAAGAGAATACGATGGCCATAGCAAACACTCTTTTCCAACAACCCAAGAGACGGCTCTACACATGGACATCACCAGTCAACACAGAAATCAGACTGACCATGTGCTCTGCAGCCAAAGATGGAGAAGTTCTATACAGTCAGTAAAAACAAGACCAGGAACTGACTGTGGCTCAGATCATGAGCTTCTCGTTGCAAAATTTAGGCTTAAATTACAGAAAGTAGGGAAAAACACTAGGCCACTCAGGTATGAACTAAATCATATCCCTGATGAATATACAGTAGAGGTGACAAATAGATTTAAGGAATTAGATCTGATAGACAGAGTGCCTGAAGAACTATGGACGGAGGTTCCCAACATTGTACAAGAGGTAGCAACTAAAACCATCCCAAAGAAAAAGAAATGCAAGAAAGCAAAATGGATGTCTGAGGAAGCTTTGCAAATAGCTGAGGAAAGAAGGGAAGCGAAAGGCAAGAGAAAAAGAGAAAGATACACCCAATTGAATGCAGAATTCCAGAGAATAGCTAGAAAAGAATGCCCTCTTAAATGAACAGTGCAAAGAAATAGAAGAAAACAATAGAATAGGGAGAATCAGAGCTCTCTTCAAGAAAATTGGAGATATGAAGGGAACGTTTCATGCAAGGATGGGCATGATAAAGGACCAAAATGGCAGGGACCTAACAGAGCCAGAAGAGATTAAGAAGAGGTGGCAAAATTACACAGAACTATACAAGAACGAGCTTAACGTCCCTGATAACCACGATGGGGTGGTCACTGACCTCGAGCCAGACATCCTAGAATGTGAAGTGAAATGGGCCTTAGGAAAGCTGAGCAGCAACAAAGCTAGTGGAGGTGACAGTATTCCAGCTGAGCTATTCAAAATCTTAAAAGACGATGCAGTAAAAGTGCTACACTCAATTTGCCAGCAAATTTGGAAAACTCAACAGTGGCCACAGGATTGGAAAAGGTCAGTTTACATTCCAATTCCAAAGAAAGGCAATGCCAAAGAATTTTCAAACTATCGCACCATTGCACTCATTTCACATGCAAGTAAAGTTATGCTTAAAATCCTACAAGCTAGACTCCAGCAGTATGTGGATCAAGAACTTCCAGAAGTACAGGCAGGATTTCGAAGAGGCAGAGGAATTAGAGATCAAATTGCCAACATACGCTGGATCATGGAGAAAACTAGGGAGTTCCGGAAAAACATCTACTTCTGCTTCATTGACTATGCTAAAGCCTTTGATTGTGTGGATCACAACAAATTGTGGCAAGTTCTTAAAGAGATGGGAGTACCAGACCATCTTATTTGTCTCTTGAGAAACCTATATACGGGTCAAGAAGCAACAGTGAGAACTGGACACGGAACCACTGATTGGTTCAAAATTGGGATAGGAGTCCGGCAAGGCTGTATTCTGTCGCCCTGCCTATTTAACTTATATGCAGAGGACATCATGAGAAAGGCAGGGCTAGATGAATCAAAAGTTGGAATTAAGATTGCCGGGAGAAATATCAACAACCTAAGATATGCAGATGATACCACTCTAATGGCAGAAAGTGAAGTGGAACTAAAGAGCCTCTTGAGGCGGGTAAAGAAGGAGAGTTCAAAAGTTGGCTTGAAACTCAACATTAAGAAAACCAAGATCATGGCATCTGGCCCTCTCAATTCCTGGCAAATAAATGGGGATGAAATGGAGGTAGTGACAAATTTTATCTTCCTGGGCTCCAAGATCACCACAGATGGGGACTGCAGCCAAGAAATTAAAAGACGCTTGCTCCTGGGGAGGAAAGCTATGGCAAATCTAGACAGCATACTAAAAAGCAGAGACATCACCCTGGTAACAAAAGTACCTATAGTCAAGGCCATGGTTTTCCCATTTGCAATGTATGGCTGTGACAGTTGGACCATAAGAAAAGCTTAGTGCAAAAGAATTGAAGCCTTTAAACTATGGTGCTGGAGAAGACTCCTGCGAGTCCCCTAGACTGCAAGGCGATCAAACCGGTCAGTACTAGAGGAGATCAACCCTGACTGCTCTTTAGAAGGCCAGATCCTGAAGTTGAAACTCAAGTACTTTGGCCACCTAATGAGAAGAAAGGACTCACTGGAAAAGAGCCTAAGGCTGGGAAAGGTTGAGGGCAATAGAAGAAGGGGACGACAGAGAATGAGGTGGCTGGATGGAGTCACTGAAGCAGTAGGCGTGAACTTAAATGGACTCCAGAAGATGGTAGAGGACAGGAAGGCCTGGAGGAACGTTGTCCATGGGGTCACGATGGGTTGGACACGACTTCGCAACTAACAACAACAAAAGTGCTTCATCCTGGAGAGAATCTATATGGTTGCTAACAGTCAATACTGACTTGATGGTATAAAATCACTTTTAAAAAGTGCTATTCAGAATCCACTGCATTCAATATAGCTGCTTTGGATAGTTATCTACAGACAGAATGAGTTTGTGTGTAAATCGAATGAATGGAAAACATGTTAAGAGGAATATATTTTCATTTTAATGTGCTAATACAATTTTATCTTGATATTATTTGATTGTTTATTGCAAATAAAACATTAAGAATGTATTAATAAAAATGCACACAGGGAGGGGAAAAGCTACTTCCTCTCTCCATAAATATTATCTGATTATGTGTTTACATGCCACACTTAATTGAATAGTTCTCATTTATAAATACGAACCTAACTGCATTTAATATTATACTCATTGCCAAGTTTGGACTACAGTTATATTGTGGCAAGTCCAAAAGAACCAACTTGATCTCAGCTGAAAAACTGAAACTGTAAACAGGCTCTCATTCTGTTTACTCATTTTTATAAGTTGACAATGGCAATACATTAAAACAGGGGGGGATAAAAATGTTCTAAGAAAATATAATTATATTTAACATCAAAGTATTAAAAACACAATAAAACAAAATAAATCTATCATAAAAAGATGACAATCTACACATTAAAAGCCTTTTGGAAAAGCACCATTTTTAACATTATTTGGAACACCATTAGAGAAAGGAAGGGTGATCAATGCCACAATAGAAAAACACTTCTTTTTTCCTAGAAAAAAAACCATACTAATGAGTCCATTCTATTTAGAAAAGGCAGTCCTGTAAGTATCTAGGTGACAAACCTTATATCCCTGCAATAAATGGACAGCATCCAGGTGTTGTGTTTTTTCCCCTTTTCCTGGACATTTTTTTTGGTCTACATAGGTACTTTAAGTTACCTTGTGTTCTGGGAAAGTAGCCCCAGAAATCTTCCAATATAAAAATAAATATTAGGACACATCAGCATAGCAAGTCTGAATGACTTCTTGTAAGATACTAATTTTAAGTTTTATTTCACTGGTTAGATTATAAATATACAAATAAAACTCACCACAACCTGTAGCATTTGATCATTTTGACTTGCGGGATTTTCAGTTAACATCTGTGACAGAGTTTGTGTCAGTGTCTTCCCAAGCAGAACCACAGAACCAAACATAGCTGCTATGCCAAAAACCATCCCTATGTTAAACCTGAAGCAAGCATGTAAATATTGTTATAAATTAATATCATCTCCAACTTGGCAAGCACATATGGCAAATTTAAATATTCAATTCCCTACCCCAGAAACATGCATTCATTGTACAAAAAAAGAATACTTAGCACCAAAACAAAAGGACATCCTATTTAGCTGTACAGTTTCATGTAAACAATCAGTTTCAGAACAGTAGCCACTTTGATTGGAAGGATATAAAAGAATTTCCAGTAATTGTCTCATAGACGTCTGAATGGTATTTCTGAAACAATACCAGAGATAAAGAAATCTCGGCTTCCATCTTCCCCAGTTGTAGAAAAGGCGGTTGAAAAAAGCTGTCTGCCATCGCACATGGAATGGAGAAACTGACAGTCCATAGGATGCAAGCCACTCCTCATAACACTCTTTCAGAGAAGATGACTGTAAAAGAAGGTGGATACAGTAAAACAAAAAAGGAATTGAAGATGTTTGCAAATTAGAAGTATGATTGCACAAACATCTCATTTTTTTTATTTCTAGAAAATGTCCCTAACTAATGGGGCTAGCAAGCCAACATTTGGTACGTTGAGAACATGTTAAGGACATTCCGGCAAAATGGCTATTAAGAGCAAGTGGTTCATTCACAAAATAGCTGCCTTATCTATAGACAAGACGCCAATATAGCAGAACATTATCTGCCTCTTTTCTCTTGTTGCTCTACCCCTGCTTATGTTTATCCTGTTCCTGAAAGATACAGATTCTTCTCAAATAAGTACTGGGCCAAGCCATCCACCATTTTTTTTCCTTAAAAAATGGATGGATGCATTTGGAATTCACAGACATTCTAGGAAATGAAGATGATGCTGAAAGCTGGTTTTCTCTCTTATGTTTCAATATAAAATGTCAGGAGAGGCGAGAACTTGCCAAGTATCAACAGAATTGCTGTGAGCATTATGTAATGAAGATTCCACAATGAAGGGACAGAATTTGGACTGTGTTTTATTTAATCTCTGCTATATTTTTGACTATTTTCAGCTGTTCTTTGGATTGGATGTAAAGCAGGGGTGGCTGGGGAATTCTGGGAGTTGAAGTCCACAAATCTTAAAGTTGCCAAGGTTGGATACCCTGATGTAAAGCATCAAGAGTGCATTATTTCTCAACATTTTTTTTCTGAAATGCACATCATACGTCTGGAAAAGACTTGTTATTTTGGAAGAAACTGCAGTAGTAGATCCCTGTAATAGCAATGAAAATAATGAACCAAACATGTTTACTGAAATGAATGAGTATCTGAAGTAAAACTGCACATGCTTAACTTCCATTTTAAAACAAAATCAAAGAGAAGATGAGAAGAACCAGAATTCTGACAACAGAATTTGAAGAGATTTGCAAGGTTTGGGGAATGTTACTGTAACTACAATGTAGGCACTTCCAAACTGAAAACATGTGCCTAATTCATTTTGAATACAGGTAGTTCTCGACTTATGACCGCAACTGAGCCCAAGATTTCCATTCCTAAGTAAGGCAATTAAGTGGGTTTTGCCCCATTTTTACAAACTTTTCTGCCACAGTTGTGTTAGAAGTAAGTCTTCATCCTGGTTCATCCAAGCCGGGAATAAATAAGCAAACATGGCGACTGCTTTGGGAAGAAGGTTACAGTTTATTGCAGAAGACAGATAAGCAGCAGAGGAGAAGAAAAGAAAGAGAGCGAGCACATGGGTAGAAGGCCTTTTTATACCCTCTAGCCTTGCCTGGAAGTTTCCTGTTCCTGNTTTTGTCTTGAGATCCCTGGCTCCAAACTTCCTGATGGTTCCACATCTGCATATGTATAAGACTAACTACTGCCCTGGGCAAAGAGATGAGGCCAGGTTTGGTTTCTGCTTTTCAAAAAATGCTTTTAAAAATCCTTTTGGTGAACAATATTTTTTCCTGCCTTTTTAATATTTCCTTCTCTGGGTTAACTTCCCACAGTTGTTAAGTGAATCACTGTAGTTGATAAGGGAATCATGTAGTCATTAAATAGATCGGGCTTCCCCCATTGATTTTGCTTGTCTGATGCCAGATCCCTGGGAAGGTTACAAATGGTGATCACGTAACTCCAGGACATTGTAACTGTCATAAATACATGACTGATTTTTTTTCACATGACCATGGAGATGCTGCAATTTCATAAGTGTGAAAACCAGTCATATGTCACTTTTTTCAGTTTCGTTATAACTTCAAATGATCATTAAACAAAATTACCTATATCAGTAGATGGTTCAAAATCTTAACATAGCACATAAAAATGAAGGATTCTAAATTAAATATGATTGCTTTAAGACAATAAACATATTTGAAAACACTCATGAAATTGACTTATTTCTGATATGCAGGATAAAGCCGCCCAAGCACCCCCTCCCCTTCCAAGGCCATTAGTGGGATTTTGGCAATCCTGCATGGGAAAATAACCCCAGAAGCTACAAGCAGCAAATTAGCTGATAATCATGCCTGCACTCTTTTAACACCCAGCATAATTCAGAATATCAGACCTAATGCTGTGTTACTCAATAAATAACAACAACCACCTGCCCTCTAGAGCTACTTATGTTAACAAAATACAGGTAGTCCTCAACTTACAAAAGTTTGTTTAGTGACCGTTTGAAGTTACAGTGACGCTGAAAAATGACCATTTTCCACATTTACAATCTTTGCATCATCCCCAAAGTCACATGATCAAAATTCAGATGCTTGGCAACTGACTCATTTATAACCGTTGCAGTATCCCCTTTGCAACCTTCTGACAAGCAAAGTCAGTGGGGAATCTATATTCACTTAACAGTGTTACGGATCTAACTGCAGTGAGTTACTTAACTGTGGCAAGAAAACTCATAAAATGGAGCAAAGCTCACTTAACAAATGTTTCACTTAGCAACAGAAATTTGGGGCTCAATTGTGGTCTTTAACTCCAGGACTACAAAAAGAGGCTCCCTCACTCAGAAAGCCGCATATAGAAAAGCAGCCCTGTATATTTGGATCCTTTTTCCTTGGGCGGTTGAGGCTGCCTAACCAGCCTTATTTCTGGCCCAGCTCAGCCCCTCGCCTTTAAAGCACCCAAGAGAGACAAAGGCTCAACAAGGGAACCTCGCGTTTTGGTCTTATTGTGCACCTCTTAAAATAAAACTTAAGAAATGGGAGGGGCTGGGCGTGAGCAACTGTTGGATAAACGAACTATGTCATTTTTCCTCGAAAACTGCTAACAAGGCAAGTGGCAGAGCCCGACTGAGAGTTGTGCAGAACGGGGAGAAGGGACGTGGCCGCTATGAGCTGCTCCTCTTCCTTCTCTGCAGACTTGAGGAACGTATCGCCCGCAAAGATTTCTCATTCAAGGGCCTAAGAAGGGGAAAGGCTCCCGTCTTACCTTCAGTACCGTGTCGGCTATGTATATGGCGCACCAGCCCCCCAGTACGCAGACCACCACAGGGAGGGGAATCATAGTGATGGCAGCAAAGCGAAACAAAAGCGGCCACAGCGACCAAGCCGGCGACTCACAGTTTGCGGCCCGGAACAAAATGTCCCTCGGAACACTTTGTTCCGCATTTCCTGAGAAGGAGACTTCCGGAAAGAGCACCGGGAGGAACCTAGCGTGTTGAGTGTTTCGTTCTTAGCGTTGACTTCAGGTTCTACTTTGCAATTGATAGATGGCTTTTTCACGCAAATTAACATATTGCGTGAAAAATAGCGGAAGTCTTTATTGTTTTTTACGTTTTGTTCAAATCGTAATTGACTATTTTAAAAAGTCCGAGCGCACATCTTTTCCACCTACTCTCACGCCTGGGTTTTTCTTTTTCTCGAGAAAGCTTTTTAATGCTCCCTAGGGTTTCACTAAGTGTCCGTGGAGATTCTCAGTCATCCAGGTCATGGTTGTCCCCAAGGTGCTTTTTCAAAAGACAACTGGACTTTCTTGGTTTTTTTCCTTGAAGACGTTTCGCTTCTCATCCAAGAAGCTTTTTCAGTGGAAGTCCAGTTGCCTTTTGAAAAGCACCTTTGGGTTTCACTAAGTGGGTTCGGAAGAAAAATCTCACCTGCGTAATTTCTAACTATGTATTTAATGTCATAAAAATATAGAAGGGGGACAGGCAGTTGGAAGGCTCGAAATCCTCTCCTCCTCGCGACAGCGCATAGCCTAGGAGGGAAGGCTGTGTTAAATCTATTGTATCGGAAGCAAAGACTCTCGTACCAATATCCTGGAACCATTGATGTACTTTATGCCATTGTTTGTGTCACAGATATTAGGAGAAATAACTTACAGGTAGTCCTTGACTAATGGAAAGCAAATTTATTAGAGCGTAGATTACAGGGCTAAGGAACTTTGGCCCTTTTATGACTTGTGGACTTCAACTCCCAGAATTCCTATGCTTCAACTCAGTTTTAGAAGAACCAGCGGAAGTTCCAGCGGAAACCCGAAACCCGTCCCCCCCCCCTCCCCGGAACGTTTGCGCGAGTGCCTCCGTGTGCGCATGTGTTACAACTGCAGGAACGCTTATTCTGCAAAATTCCTTCGAGCCATTCTGATGCTCAGCGAGATTTTTGGAACGATCTGCTGAAGACCGGTTGACGCTGTAGCCTTTTATATTATACTTTGAGTCTACACTGTTCTTTCCTTATTCCACACACCACACAGCCGCCATAGCTTACTTGAAAATAAATGTATTGGTCTGATGCATATAAACTAAGCATTTATCTTCACTCGTGGAATGTATTGCCTAGCTGAATGTAAGGCGAGGGAAGTTTGGGATTTCAGATACAATCTTGTTTTATTTCCTGGGTTCGTAAACTGCAAAAAGTTCTATTTATGCTCTGCCCCTAGAATAACTCCAGGGGGCGAAAAAGGCAACACTTCCGGTGGGACGGCATATGTACAGGTGAAATCCGAGGCTGGGCGGTTGAACTTTTGGTTCGGTTTACCGTAGGCATAACGGAAACAAACCCTGATTTTAAAGGCAGCTTTTTATCTATTTGCAAAGCTTCATCTTGGTGGAAAGATCGGAGTTGTTGACTCTTTTTGAACCCATTTGCATTATTTTGCCATGTCAATTAAAATATATCTTTTTCTTATCTCCGTACATCACTGACTGAGTCAGAAAAAAAAAATCAAGATTCTGCTAACATCACTTTGGCCTAAGAAATGTTATTAAAAGATATACTGCAGTTCACTTTATCAGATGCATAGAATGGATACTGTAATGTAGGATTTAAATTGGGGGTTATTTGGGGGAAAATTAGGACAGTGAATGGAAGATAGGTTGAATTATGCAGGTGCAGATTACATGGGAGAGGACGTATGCTCATTGATACCTACAACCTATTGCCTTTGTTGAGACCTGAGATTGCCTGAAACTGTTTGATATTTTTAAGTTCTACAACCTTTTGCTGAATTTATTAATCAAATTTATACAGCCACCCATCTTACCAGAAGTTACTCACAATATAAAAACACTAATTATAAAATTATAAACAGTCATTATATAAATAATTTTTAAAAAAATATTAAAATGACCTGATAAAGTCCTGCTTTTCTAAAATAGTCTCTGAGATCTCCTGTAGGCACTTCTAAACTTGTCTGTGAACTTGTTGGGAACTATGATGGTGCTGGTGGGTAGATAATGGGGCAAAGTAAATATCTGAATTTGTTGCAGAGTCTGGTTTCTATGTTGGAATTGTCCTATTGTTTCTTGTTGCTTGTGAGAATCTGCTTCAGTCTGAGTGATTGTCTGCAAGTATGGGCCTGCTATCCGGTGCCTAAGAAAGTGCAGTATCATTGTCCAGTTTGGGCTATAACTTACTAATTATGTGTTTGAGCTATGACCAGTGTTATTGATTATTGGGTGGGTGGGTAGTTTGGTCTCCTGAATGCCTGGATCAAATCTATCAGTTGAGTATCTCTCAAATGGGTTCAAACATATATAGTTTTAGGGTGGACTCTATGTATAGATGATCAATTTGGTGATGTGCACTGGGTAGACGCTGGAAACATTGCAGGTATGCATGTCAATCTATTTTGTAATTGCTCTTGAAGGGTTCGGGAACAAAGGGAAATTATTTAGTCTAACTGGTGCTTTCTTGCTTTTGCACCAGGGAAATCTCATGCAAGCATGGGAAATATGTACATGAATGGGATGTACTGAAGGAGGGAATAAGGGAGTCTACAGGAATGATTGATGTCTTCCTTATGATGTAATGGCTCTGTTGTCTGATTTTCATTGGCTAACAAAGTTTATAAAGCAATGCTACTAACTTTCTAAGGCAGACATGTCAAACACAAGGCCTGGGGCCGGATGCAGCCCGCGAAGTGGTTTCATGTGGCCCACGAAGCCATCCTGGAAACAGTGAGGGAACGGCCCCCACTGCCTTGGCCCTAGCCCAGGCCGGCCAGGAGGAAGCCAATGTACAATTTTGTGGTGGCCATCTATGCTGAAATGCATTCAGTCTTAGCTCCATAAGGCCATCTGGAAACAGCGAGGAACCAGCCCTGCCACGTCAGCCACGTCCCCTGGGTGCATGCTGGGGAGGTGTCACCCTTTGTGAGGAATGAAGAAATGCACCATCGCCTGGAAGTGGCCAGCAAATGGCCCTGGCCTACTTCACATATCCAGCTTGATGTGCTCCGGGGAAGGGGTTTCGGCAGGCAGCGGGGTGCTCTCCTCACAGTGCCGAGAGGCTGAGCTGGGTGGCGCGAATCTGATGAGAAGTGCAATGCTGCCTAGCCCCCAGCCTGCCCTGTTTCAGCAGGCAGCAAGGTGCAAAGTTGGCGAGCTTCACACCAACCAGTTCAACCTCTCAGCACTGTGAGGAGAGCGCCCCGGTGCCTGCCGAGACTGGGCAGGCTGGGGGCTGGGCGGCAGTGCACTTCTTTTCGGATTCGTGCCGCCTGGCTCAGCCTCTCGGCGCTGTGAGGAGAGCACCTTGCTGCCTGCCAAAACCAGGCAGGCTGGGGGCTGGGCAGCATTGCGCAGGTAACATTGACTCTCATGCTGCTCGTGGCATTCCCTCCCCCAGAGCCCACCAAGCCAGATATGTGAAGTGAGGGCCATGTGCTGGCCACTTCCAGGCGATGGTGCATTTCTTCATTCCTCATGAAGGGTGACACCTCCCCAGTTGCATTTCTTGCCTGTTTTTCTCTCTCCCTCATCTCAAATATTTTCCCACCACTCTGTACTTAGGAAGGAAGGAAAGAAGGAAAGGAGAGGGAGGGAAGGTCTGAGGGAAGTCCTGCCTTAGTCCTGCCTTGCTGCCCTTTCACCATCCCCTTGCCCCCTCCTCCTGGCCTATTCTGGGGGTCTCCCATCCTATTGCTAAGGAAGCTTTGGATACAAAGCAGGGTCTCCTCCCATGGAGAGGGAATGGGCCTCCCTCTGACTTTGCCCTCGTACCCATCATGAGCAACCTGGGTAAGGAGAGCAAGCACAGCAGCAGCAGCCTTGAGGATGAGGTAAGTGCAGCTGGGTGTCCCCTTGGGGAAGTGGGGCTGGGCTTGGTGCCGCGGGTGCTCAAGGGCCAGGCTGGGCGTTTGACCTCTGCTGCCCAGGGCTCCAGGCAGCCCGTACCACCATCCAGCCCCCCCACATCGCCGAGAGGAACAGTGAAGCTCCTCCAGTGGACCATGCCTTGGCACTTGTCCTGGTCCCATCCCCTTCTGCCAGAGACCCTCAGATCTGTCCCACTCCTGCCCAGGCCCCCACAGGCACCACTGATGTGAACGGTGTAGAGCTGGCCATGCCCACCCAGTAGGCCACATCCACTCCATCCACGTCCACCCAGTAGGCTGCACACACCTTGGCCACACACCCCTGCCCCTCCCCCCAAGGGCAACTGCAATGCTGATGCGGCCCTCAATGAAATTAAGTTTGACACCCGTGTTCTAAGATGTGGCATTTCTGGACTTAACTCTGCCAGCATTCCAGATTGTTGACCACTCAGCTGCTTAATTTGATCAAATAAAGTGCTGCTTGATCAAGAAGTCTCTGCTTGGATTATCTGATTAGATTGATATGATATCTCAAGTTCAAGTAAGGGACTGGGACCTTACATTTCTGGAGCCCAAACAGGGACTTGAAGGTTTTTTCTTCAAGGTCGTTTCTCATAGACTCCCTGTGAATGAGTTCTATTGAAACTCAGCAACCGTTAGGCATGACATCCAGGAAAATTGGTGGGGCCAGATACAAAGGTCAAGAGTGCTCCCAGACTCTTTGTGTCTGGTGACTTTTGAACTGCCAGCAGACCTGAGTTTGTCTGATCTCTGAATGTTTAAGGAGACTTCTATCTCATGCCAGTGAAGGTAGGAGGAGACGAGAACAGAGGAGAAACTTGGTAAGTAGAAACAAACATTCCGGAATTAGGGGGAGGTGGGGAGTGCTGTTTGCATGAATGAAAGAATGAGACAGAGAAATTTCTATTAGAGGTCTGCTCTGAAGCGACAGGAAGAGTGCTTGTTGAGTTTCAGGCTGGTATCAGGCAGGATCTTGTCCAATATACAAAGGGGGACC